TAAGAACCTTGGAGGCTGGGGCTCAGATGTTGTTGTGTTTAAAGCATCAGGAAGATTCAGTTGCAAAGTCAAATTTGACGACTTCACCTCTGTACGGTCTAGAGTAGAGATAATGTATCTCCATGTCCATCCTGGTTGTGAACTCGCTTGCACCCCATGTGATGGCAACAGCAAGAGGTCCAGAAGTTCAGCTGATCTCCCAGTGTATGTTTGGGATCTCCAGGAAAGGAGTATGAACTACCTGGCTTGTACTGGGTGTTGGTCCCAAGACCATGGCATGGTGGAATTAAGGTATGTGTTGGAACTTGGTCTCAGTGAGTTGACCAAGTCAGTGACCTGGGCCAGGTCCTAACGCAGCTCCAACTGCTACCATGTCATCAGCTCCCAGCAAATGAGTCCTTGGGGGTAGGCTTCTTGATTTAAATGTCATCTTTGGAAGAAAAGCTTCAAGTTGCCATGGCCAGGTGCTCTGTAGATCCTCGACAGCTTTTAGGTTGAACTGAGGATCAAACCTGGGCCTCTCCTGTGGTTCCAGCTGACAGAGCACAGGTCTTAGCAGTGTACACCACTGCAGCTGAGCCAGTCTTTGAATGATCTTAAGCATGGCAGTGACCATGAGGGTTTTTCAGGATGTCCACGCTTCCAGTGACATGAGGGGTGAGAGGTTAGATGAAGGCTATTGCAGGAGCTGTGATGTCTGGGAAGGGCTGGAGCAGTGAGAATGATGAGAAGAGAGAGCATTAAGATTTAAGAAGTAGAATTGGCCAGCAGACGGCATAGTGATTACATCACTGGACTCCCACATGGCCAACCACGGTTCAAGTCTCAGATCTGGTGGCTTCAAACTCATGCCAGGTGTGTGTGCACGTGTCCCCAAAATCCGGAGAGGAGAATGGGGGAGAAGGTATTGTGGCATGGCCATCCTTCCTGAGGGTAATTTCTTGCTTTCTGTCTCTGTCTCTCCAGTGAACATATGCTCTCTATAGTAAAAATCCCTGCAAAAAATAAATGAAAAAAAAGTAGAATGGAGACCAGCAGGTGGCATGGTGGTTAAGGTGCTGGACACTTCCACATGGCTGACCACGGTTCAAGTCCTGGACCTGGTAGCTTGCTTTCTCACTTTCTCTCTCTCTGTTTCTCTCTCTCTGGTCAAATTAAAATAAATGAATGAATAAATAAAATAAAATAAATCTTTTTTTAAAAAAGTAGAATCAATAGGACTTGATGATGAAAGAGCTAGGGGCAGTGAGGGGCTGGGAGGTGTGCTTTCAGATGGCTTCGTTAGCATCTTTGCAACATGGCCTTGGTCTCCAGATTCCTAACTCTGAGGCTGAGCATTCTCAACAGCAAGTCCTTGGGTGTGGATGTTGGAAAGGCCACTTCAGAACTGTCCCAGCCAGGGCCCTGCAACAAGCCCTGCTTCTGTAGCAGTTGGCCAGGCACAAAAAGCATCTCCGGTGCTCCAGCCAGGAGCAGCCAACGGGAGCTGCAGCCAGGACCCCTCCCAC